AATGATGAAACACATGGGCTCAATTGTGATAGCACTTAATGCAAACACTGATAGTTAATCTAATTAAATATGACATGACAACTTTAGAAATTTAGGGTAGGGTGTATGTGATAGAGGTATTGTGTGTAGAAAGACTTGAAATACAATTAAATCTTCTACTTTAGTTAAAAACAAATAATGCCCCCATATGGAAAAACAAGAAAAAGCAATTTAACAATGGTTAGGGATCAGTATGTAAACAATAGAACCACCCAAGAGGGCAGGGTTTTTCATGTTTTTGGCTTTTACTTAACTAAAAACTGTCTAAACAGCCTCTCACATTTTTTTTTTTCCCAGTGTAAAATAGAAATAATCTCTACCACGTGAAGTTATTGTAAATATTCAAATAATGGGTGTAAATCGCCAAGCAAATGATTAACACGTGGAGCTAGGAAAGGATAAACAGGAGTTATATATGTGATTCTTAGCAAATAATGAGTAAATAATGTCCCTACCACATTTGTCGTCTGTAGCATCCATTGATTATGTACATCCTGAATATTCTGAAATAACCATGATTTCATGATAATTTTCAGGTAAGAAAATCAAAATTTGGAAAAAACATTCTTTTAAATGACAATGACCATCTTCCTTGAACTCCCCTAGGCCAAAAGCTTCAGGAATTTGGCTTTTGGAATTAATTCTGAGAGGTGTCGCTGAATTGAACACATTGCATATTACAGAACTGGTCTAAGCCAAAATTAGAAACACAGTTTTTCTATGAAAACTCTTTTAAGAAAAGAGATTAGACACTTTTTAAAAATGTGGTTTGACAGAGAGATAGAGACAGAGAGAAGTATGCTCCAAATGAATTTTGACACATGCGTGGACTAGAATAAAATACGTTAAAAGAAAGTGATTTCATATATAAGCAAAATTAGAAAAACTAGGTATTTGTCTGCTGTACTTACCGTGGCTTTTGAAACACTGGCTCAATAAAGGAGAAGAAGGTCATGGAGCTTCTTCCAAGAAATGCAGGTCTCAAATAATATGCGTTACATTTAGGTTCCATATTGCTGAAGTGTCTCACCGATAAGGAGCCAAAATAAAGGCAATGATCAAGGACTGAATTGTGATGGATTAAAGCATTGCCTTTTAGGAGTTCAGAGTCTTATGATAAACAAATTGAATCAAGGCATATGAGTTACTAATTGTTTGAAAGTGGATAAATGGTGAGCACACTTTAAAAATTAAACCCAATCATGTTTTGAAAGTTTAATATAGTTTTTATAAAACTGAACTTGCAGTATTGAATACATGAGTTTAAATTTTTGTAAGCTAAATGACTTTGTATATTTAAATAATTATAAATTGCATGCCCGACAGTGTAATTAATTTGATGCTAATTTGAATATGTACAATGTAATTCAAGCACAAATACTGAAGTAAAGCTCACAGATGTTCTGTATAGTCAAAGCGAATTCTCTTCATAGTGTGGAATGGTAGTATTTCATGATATAAATGGCACAAAAGACACCTTCTTCATAATCTCATTCTTCCTCCCACAGAAATAATCCATTAGGTTCTATTTTGTCTAGACAAAGTGGCTTTTGAGTACTGAGACACCTAAATACTTTTTATTGTATTTAAAGCTATTTATGGATAAATTTAGAAATAAGAATTTTTTCAGAAATAATAATAAAATATCCTTATTTTTAATTTAGTAAATATTTATAAAAGTGTATTCACATATTGCTGAGAAGGATGAATATTTAAATTAAAGATAAACATTATCAAAATAATTGTATTTATTTATATCATTTTGATAAATATAGTATTTTTTCATGACAGGAACTGTACCATGAAAATCCCATAAAAAGAGATTAGTTTGCAGTTGTTAAATAGTCATTCAATTCAGTGAACACATTACATTTTGCTTTTCAATAGTCACTATATTGACGGGCTGAAAATTATATTGGCTTATGTTGACTTTTTATTCTCTTTGATTTGAGCTCATAACTTTCTGAAATGGAAATATTAAAGGTTTAATTTTAATTTAATCAATAAAAAACATAACTTTTTACTATTGAGAAAAACATGTCATGTACAGATTGAACAATGTTACATAAAATCACTTTAATAAGAAGTCCTCCTGGCTGAAATATATGAAACTGAGATGATTTTGTTTGGAATGATCAATGTCAAAAAAATCAGCAAAAGGAGAAGAAAAGCAATTCTTTATTTTTATCCAAATATATGATTTTATAATTTAGTTTCAACAAAAACATAGAGTCACCATATAATATATCATCCAAACCAGAGCACTCTAAGAGTGAGAGAGTGCTGTTAATAATTACACAGGTATAACAATACAACTGGAACTCTCCTGGGCAAACTGGACCTATGATCAATTACCAATAAGGATTAAACTGCAATTACACACAGAAATCACACCTTCCACATATATTTGTGGTAAAAATAAAGGAAGAGCATTCACTAAGAAAAATTAATTTTGGCAATAGTGGTTCTTTCTCATTATCCAGGTCTCTGCTTAAATCTCACCCCCTCCATAAACAGTCACCTCTTCTAAAATAATTAATTCTTATTCCCTTTAGTCATTTTTCTCATGTGATCCTGTTTTTCTTCCCTTAACTAATATTTTGACTATCTGAAATTATCTCATTTATTTTTTGTCTATCTCACAGTGTCCCCTCCCCACTCTCCTACTGATATGCAGTGTTCAAATGGGCAGTGACCTCCTCTGACTTGGTCATATCCAAACTCCAAGAGCTAGAAATGCTTAGGACATAAAAAACATGCAAAAATTTTGTTGAATGAATGAGTGAATACATTTGGAGAGTTTATATTTGGCCCCATATTCTCCTTGGTACCAAAGACAATTAAATAACTCTCCAAATTAAATTATGGCTCTATTTAGTTTTAAGTGGTCAGACTAAATGATCTATGCAGTTTCTTCCACTGATAATAAATATACCATGCTCCCTGGACTCCCTCTCTTTCTGCTACAATTTCATTTCCTATATCCTGCAAATCAGAAAGTTTGGAGATCAAAGGGTAGGGCAATCAGCTCTATTCACAGTGGATGGATGCTCTAGGTTGATCATTTTGCCAGTAACAATTCCCTGGTATGTGTTTGCACCTACAGAATTTGGTTGATACAGAGGTAGCCAGAAGGTATTATTGTAGTCAATGATAGAATTGTTGATGTAATAATTTTCCAATAAAGAAATTATCACATGATTGCTAAAAATGGGAAATGATGAGCATCCAGACCAGCTATTAAGGATTTACATATTAATGAGAAGAAATAGATTGATTCTGGGCAGACTTAGATTGCAATGTCCAAAAAAGTTTTATAGGAAAATCCATGATAATCTTATAAGGAACACTTGTAAATTTTCATAAAAATCTCTGCATTCCAAATCTTTATTTTGCAGATGTTCTACAGAGCAATAGTTTTGATTTCCTATGAATCATAAATATAAAACCTTAGGGTTAAAAAAATAGTACTGCTAAATTTATTTTGGTTGGCCAGAGATCCAATACACCAATAAAATCAGTGATTAACCAATCAACCAAACAACAACAACAAACAGACAACAGACAAAAGACACATGGGTAAAATATCCTCAATAAATCTAATTTTAAATTCTTTCAGGTATATACAAAACATTCCTCTTGGACTGAGCAACGTGTGAGAAGGGATAGGCTCCCCAGGTGAGAAAAAGTCTGTCTTGTTACAACAAATACCACAAACAAAAGAAAGGCATAAGAAAGGAGACTGAATTAGACATATGTATTTTAAGCATAAATATTTATCATCTGTTTCAGGATACATTTATCATCTGTTTCAGGACAATACAAGATATATTGTATTGTATCGTCTCAAAGATAAATTATTGGTTTTTAAAATGATAGAAGTTTCAGGGAAAAAAAGGTGAAAATGTTACCAATTGACTCAGTTTGAAACAGGACCATTAATTATGTGATTTCACACGAATTCTGATATATTCAATATAACTTGGCTACTGACTATAAGAATGATTCGGCATTTGTTCAGAGCTCGTATTTGTATTAGATCATATACAAAACAGATTTCCAGATTTTAATTAGTCCAGGAGAAAACCAATTCTCAAATTTATCTATGTTTATTTCCCCCAGTACTAGTAACTTTTAAAAACCATAAGAAATTTTTAGCATATTGATATGATCTAAAATTTACAAGTTAAATATATAATGGTTATATTTTTTGCAGGGCCACAAATAGTACAGATTTGTGAAACTCTCTCATATACAGTACAATTGAAAACCTCCCAGGACCTTAAAAAGCAGAAAACATTAAATCAGGTTTTAAAATGACAAATAATTTAAGGCTAAAATATTTGGTAATAATAATTAATGCCAGTAGCCTTCTTAACCTAATAAATTAAACATGCACAAGAACTACAACTTTGAACAAAACATCACAATTTTATCAGATATATATGTATGTTTGTGTGTATATATGTGTTTTATATATATATATATATATGTATGTGTGTGTATATACATATACATATAGACACACATACATATATATAGTTTTATCGCCCTGAAAGGTATCCACTCATGTTTGGCTTAATATATATGTTAGAAATGTCATGGAGAGTACCACCCTTTAAATATATATATATTTTTTTCCATAATATACAATATAAATAAATATACCATATATAAATCATGCCATAAAAGTAAATGCAAAATTTGCACATTATTGCATGCATGATGTGATAATACATGCCCATTAATAAGAATTTCCTTGTGATGTCCTCCCTTCACAACTTTTGCTTTCTGCACGGTAGCAATGCTTGGAAGTAAAGGTCCTCAAATATGCAGATATGACTTGGTGGTGGGGGGTGGGGGAATGTACCTTTCAGATTCCTTAGAGAGGATTACCTCATCAGCAAAATATTGGACTACTACTAAATCAAATGGTAAATAATGCCTAAGGGGATGTTTTGTTATGTGAATCTATCAGAGTTCATTTTTCTTAATTTGGCTGGAAGATTCCCTTCCATCCTGGAAACTCCCCCAGCCATCTTTTGAAGCTTTGGTGGCAAATCAGCCACTGACTGGCTCATGGGATCAGACAACATCTTGGTGGTTTTAGATACCAGTTTTTCTTCTGAGTTGCCAGGAACTGAACTTATTCGTTGAAGTTTCATAGGCAAATCTCCCAAACTGTAGGCTTTTTCTGAAGTAGTAGAACTCATTCTCAAGAGTTTTTTTGGAAAGTCTTCTCTTCCAGTAATTTTCTGTAGCTTAGATGGAAGTTTTGTACTAATATCATCTAGTCCATCTAAGCATTCCACAGAATTATGTCTTTCTTTGCTGTTAGCTATGGCTGGTGCTATTAAAGGGGATGACATAAGAAGCATCTCCTCCTGTTCTTTCACACTATAAGGTGGGGTGGGGACTTCGAATGTTGCGTGGAACTGAGAATAATCAACTTTAAAGAATCCTTCTTCTAAGGAAATAACAGGAAAAAAACGATGACCCCAAAGAACTTCATCTTCAGTATATGATGTTCGAGCTTGGCAAGTCATCCCTATAAGCAAAAAGAAAATCCTTGATAAATTATGCAAGTAGAAGCACAAGTAAAGCCAGTTTGAACTAAGGAATGTATCTTGCTCTCTGATCAAGCTTTGGACTGTTGATAGGAGTAGACTGAGTAATACATTATGTTTATAGTTTTAATATAAGTTGACAGCTTAGAGTTATACTTTTTCCCAATGAAAAACACAGGGCACAGCTACTTTCATGTATAGAGAGTAATATATCAAAGTATTATTAATTGTTTATTATTCATAAACCAAAGTAAAAGGACATTGAATAATGTTAACCTATGTGTTAGGAATAAGGAGACAAGAGGAGACATTACCATTTTCCATTATTCAAGAAGCGATGTGATATATGAAACAAACATGGCTTTGAATGCAAACATTATCAGTGTGTAAACTTAAGAAAGATGCTTAATTTAGCATCATTTTCCTATTCTGTTGAGTAAAGTACGAAAAATAATGCCTGCCCCACATGACTGCTGTGAGCATGAAATAAAATAACATGTAGAGAAATGGAAAACGTGTTGTTTAATGTCTACAAATAGTTTGCTCTTAATAAATCACAGCAAAGATAACTATCCCAAGAATTTGCTAAATGAATAAAAATTGGAAATATTTCTATCTTGGGTTATGGAAAGTCATTGTGGTGGGTCCATTCTCCTGGACTTTTAAGACCAGAATGAACTTTTGCTCAAGTTTTAAAAGTCTATATGCTAAAATCAGTGTGATGTTTCAAGTTCTATTCCTGCTATAAGAATCTCTGAAATGGTATGCTGGATATCAAATGTCGAATTCTGCTATTTATGTTGCTTGGATATTTGCCTCATACTAGGCTTATTTACTCAACTGTGTTCTCTTTATAAATCAAATGTTTAGACTAAGTTACTATTAAATCAGTCAACCTCTGAATATTCATTGTTAAGACCGAAAGTATGTGAATAAATTAAAACCATATATCAAATACAGTCTTACATTAGTCAAGAGATACAATTTCTGTAAGTTTCAAAATTCTCTACTTTCCTCTACCTTTACTATCAGACTTTTATTAGTAGCTATTACAATGTAAAATGATAGATGAATTTTAAGAATAATTAAGTATAACTTAAACAAGTAATGACTCTTTCTTCATTCATTTCTATTTTCTTTCTGTCAATAAATAATTTCTATTGTGTTTAAGCCTGGAATAGTTTGGATAAAGGGATAGTCTGTCTTTTCCCCCTGACTAGTAATTACATACACAATAGTTAGAATCAGGATAAAATGCATAATTAACAACCCAGAAAGCCTTGATTGAATCTTCCCAAAATCTTGCCTCATATTATTATCAGTTATGTATCCCCAGAGAATCAGTTGTTACCACTTATATACCGACTTTTCCTAGAAAGTATTTAAGGAACTTAAGCAGAAAATAAATGCCTATCATATTTCAGGCACTGTTAGGTGCTCTCTCTATATTAATTCTAATCCTCGATATCATCCTGATAAGAAAATATTCTTATGTCCATTTTAAAAATAAGAAATATAGTGCTCAGAGTGATTAAATCTCTTGATGTTCTTTGGGTACAGACCAAGAAGCTGTAGGAAAAAAATGTCAGTATTATTTAAATTTCCGGGGTTGTTGCTGTTTTATTTTTCCATGATGTCTACATTTTTTAAGTTAGGGATCCATTTCTAAACAATTTATCCATGTAACTGTCATGGTGGAAATCTGATAGTGACTAAATATCAGTCTTCATAATCAATATTATATCAGGAATAGTCCCAAACATTTACGTATGAAGATTACTAAATTAGTTTGAAAGTACTTTGTAAGTTTTATGCACATGCATTCTGTATTTACAAACAATTTTACAGACATGCATTCTGCATTACAAACAATTTTCTAGCCCCTGACTAAATATTTCATGAGAAAATTACAGATCATCACTTATTCAGAAAATTAAAAAAATATATTTCACTTCAGTGAAACAGGTCATCGATTATTGTGGTGCAATAACAGCTACAATAGAAAGAGATTTTTTCAAATGTTTGCTCACATAACAATACCCGTAGGCATTGTTACTAAAATGCCAGTGGATGATTTTGAACTGAAAAGTCAGGTGGGGATTTTATTCTACTATATGAAATTGCCTTTACTTCCTTCCATAGCAAATTAATACTTGTGAGGCAACATCTTTATATAATTGAAAAATATATGAATTTGGCTGCCAATTACACTACTAAATAGCTTGTGAAAATTACTTTAAGCTCTATAAAGCTCAGTTTTCTTTTCTACAAAGTAGAGATAGAAATACCCTCTCTCATAAAACTATTGAAAATTTGAGATAAGTAAAGTACATAGAACAGTGCTTGGTATTTAAGCAACGTCCAATGATAACTACGGCTTTTATTGTTCTGTAGAAATTACTTTCATTTCTTGTTCTTCTTGGAAATTAGTGATACTGAATTAATATAAAAAGGAAATTTTGACATATTATTCATTTGTCCCATATTAGAAATACAGAATATTACATTTAAAAACAACTAGCAATCCACTTTTGTGAAATAATCGATTGAACTTCAAAATACATTTATGTATTTATTTATTATTGAATTTATCTGAGTGACATTGGTTAATAAAATTATGTAGGCTTCAAATGTATAATCCAACAACATGTCATCTGTAAATGGCATGGTGTTCACCATATTTTAAAATATAGAAAAAAATTACTCATATTTTCAACACTTAAGGTTTCTCAGCATATCTACATAAGTATCTCTAATAGCTGGGAGTCTAAATGTGAAAACTTAGGTGTATAAAAAGGCCTGCAGCAAGGTAGGCGACTAAGTCCATTACAAGACTTTGGTAATTACATCAAGAACATTTGACAGCATTTTAACCTTTGTTTTTTGCTGTTTCTTTTACACTTTCATTAAATGTAGGTACAAAAATATCAAACACTCCCACTTCAACAACATCACAGTTTTAAATATGGTTTCACCTCAGAATACTAATGTATAATCAACGTATGGATGATGACATGAAAACATTAGAATTGGATAACAGGAAAATGTCTATAATGGTCAATCCTCAATTTAGACAATGCGCTAACATAAAACGTAATTGAGTAATGTTATTATTACAGAAGTTATCTCAAAATTGTGTTGGAAAAATAAAACAAATTTCAATAGAGAATATTTAAAGTAAATATAATTACATTTTCTAAGAACATGCATCATAGTATTTTTCCTTATAGAATTCATTGTCTTATGATATTTCCTACTCTAATCCAAATTATTTTAAAGTAATTAATGTTTAGATTCATAATTGCAAATGCCACTTGAGTCAAAACAAATGCAGGTGAAAGCATTAATCAAAGAGTACTACATGATTGTATCTCTTAACTGGCAATGCAACTGTTTCCATGTTTTACCAGATTACAGACTTGAACAAATGTTATGAAAATCAACACAAGCTCATCTCTGTGGAAACTGGCAGAGCAACAGAAGTTGCTACTGGAAATAGCTGGGACTTCTGAATCCTTAGATGAAAAGCATTTTGTGAAAAAAAAAAAAAAATATTCTGTGCATCGATTCATGGATAAAATAGTTATATATTATTGTTTAATCTAATTTATTACAGCATCAGAGTGTCCATCTAAAATAATAGAAGCAATGTACTCAAATCTCTTTATTTTTTACTTTTCCCTGTCCTGATTCTGCCTTTAACCCCATGCTATTAAGTCCATCTCTTTCACTAAATTGAATGTTCATTCAAATAAGTCTAAAAGCTTTTTAAGTGAAAATGATAAAGTGAATTGTTATTTGACAGGTCCTTAATTAAACTTTCAGAATACCTCTAACTCAGTCATTCTCTATTATTTCTCAATCAGAGATGATACATATGTTACCTATATGAGGTGACTATAAGATGGCTAAACACAATGTAACCACAGGCCAAGGGGAAGGTCTGAATGCTGTGACACAGAAACTATCAAACAACCAATAACTTTTGCACAGAGGAGGCTTTATCCTAACCTTAATATAGAAGTTGCTGGAAGAGAGAGAATTCTCTGAAGACACAAAGTAAATCTTCAATTAGCAATATAATAATAATAATAATAATAATAATAATAATAATAGGTAATATCTCTATAGGGCTTACTATTTGTCAAGTGTTTAAGCACTTTTTAACATATTATCATTAACCTTCACAACTCTGTAAATTAAGGCCCACTCTACTATTTTCAAATGGAAATTGTAAGGATTAAATGAAATTAGGTAATAAATACTAATTGCATGCACAATAAATATTGGTTATTTTCTTCCCAAAGAGTCTGTAAATATGGATTTCATGACTACTCTACAAATTTCATTTGTATACCCACACATCCACACACCAGAGCTGCAAAATATATTGTTTTTCTTCCTTAAATCTATTCTGTTTATCTATTTTTTCTTCAAATCGATGGTGTTTTTTTATAACTGAATTGACTAAGCATGTGCTATATCACAAAGTAATTTCCTAGACCACTCTAGGTATTGCTCTGAGGATTACTGAATAAGATCTATAGATGTTTTTTCCCTAAAGTACTTCCAAAATTTCACCCATCTCCCAGTATATAATAACTGTAAGGTATGGCACTCTCTGCATGATCTCTGTTGTGCTGCACTAAGCTGAACCCAAATTTAAACTATAAGCTTTCTGAGGAAGAATGTGGTTCTTTTTTGTTCATTTTTAAACCTTGTTTATAAAACAAAGACATTGTGTACACCACTGTGCAATAATATTAGGGTTATGGCATAAAGCTTCTTTGAGATATAGGTTGCAAAGCTACTAAGAATATATAAATTGCTTCTGAAAACTGCAGTTTTCAAATAGACAGAACCCCTTTAAAGCTCAACATTTTCTGCTCAGATAGACTTTTAGAGAGAAGTAGAAGTTTCTGGCATGAAGTCAACCCAATATTATCCTCTATTATTTAAAGCACTGTTCTTACAATGTGTT